CAGGCAGGGACAGCCCCAGCAGGGCAGGACGCCCCAAGCCCCTCCAGCCCTGCCTTGCTCATGGAAACAAGGGCACAAAATCAGATTAAAGAGCAGCACAAGAGTGGTTTCAGGCCATCACTTTTGTAGTTTCCTGCAGAGCAACCCAGCAGTCAGCAACCACTCCCTAATTCCTGATGAACTCACCAGGAAATATTTCAGTCCGTTTGTCCTTACACTTCATTCATCAATGCACCACTTTAATTAGCTCATAATTAATTGAGATTCAGTAAAAGCTGGACACTCACTTTGCCAATCCAGCTGTTTTGCTCACTCAGCAAAACATATTTCGTTATTAAGTGGGTTTTGTTTGGTAATTTCAATTTCATTTTTTGTGTGCAGCTCAAACCTGAATATCTGAAAGTGACCCCTCCTCAGAGCAGCATCCCCTGCAGTTATAACACCAAATATTGAGGAATAAATCAGTTTATCTCTCAAAAATGACAGGCAGCTTTGGGAATTTCAGTTCCCACCCGTGCAGATCCCAAGGTGTGCACAAATCCCAGAGGCCTGCAGAGTTTGCCTCATCTCAGGAAATCACTGCTTGCAAATAATAAATTTTTGTTGTGTCACCCATCATCACCACAGTAATTCACTCATTTGAGTGAAAAATGCAGCTTGGTTTAGCCTGCATTTATTTAACAACTTCTTGGGAACAACTCTGCCATTTCCATGGAATTACAGAGGTTGGCACAGCCCTTCCAGCCCATGCAGTGCCAGCTGTGCCCACCTTGTGCCCAGCCCAGAGCACTCAGTGCCACCTCCAGGGCACACCTGCAGGGATGGGCACTGCAAAGCTCCCTGGCAATCAAATCCCAAGCCCTGAGCTCCCTTTCCAGCCAGAAATTCCTCCTGGAATTTCTGCACAATCCCAGGTCAGCCCTGTTCAATGAACCACATCAAGGGACGGCTCCAAATTAAAAACCACCCTTAAAATATGAACCTGGATCACTTCCCTGAGCTGCTTCGTTGTGCAGCTGGACAGAAATGTTGCCAGAGCTGCAGCAGGAGATAAAATTCCAGGCTGGGAATGAGTTCCCAGGCCCTCCCAGTGCCTCTGAATCCATGGGAATATTTTATATTCCCAAAGAAGTGAGATTATCAACTCTCCCCACCATTCTCTGCACTACAAAGCCTTTNCAGCTGCACCGCTGTGAACCAGTGGGAATTGTGAAAACAACATCTCAGGAGGAATCCTGCTGGCATTCTGCAGATCAGTGCCTGGGGGAGGCCTGGGAAAGGCTGCAATGGGCTGGGAACTGTCACAGGTACGGGAGGGGCAAGGAGGGAACTGGAACCAATCTCCCACCCCTCAGCAAAAGCTGAGCATGAGTGCCACAAGGGATTCATGGCACAGCTACCCCAGGGCACACAGCAGCACCTGATCCACACTGGGGAAGGCCTGAGAAAGGCTGCAATGGGCTGGGAACTGTCACAGGGACAGCAAGGGCAAGGAGGGAACTGGAAGAGAAAGGCTGCAATGGCTCACAGGGTGGGAACTGTCACAGGTACGGGAAGGCAAGGAAGGAACTGGAACCAATCTCCCATCTCTCAGCAAAAGCTGAGCACGAGGGAATTCATGGCACAGCTACCCCACGGCACAGAGCACCCCCTGAGCACAGAACCCACACTGGGGAAGGCCTGAGAAAGGCTGCAATGGGCTGGGAACTGTCACAGGTACAGGAGGGGCAAGGAGGGAACTGGAACCAATCTCCCATCTCTCACAAAAGCTGAGCACAAGGGAATTCATGGGAGAGTTACCCCAGGGCACACAGCACCCCCTGAGTACAGAATCCACACTGGGGAAGGCCTGAGAAAGGCTGCAATGGCTCACAGGGTGGGAGCTGTCACAGGTACAGCAATGGCAAGGAGGGAACTGGAACCAACCTCCCATCTCTCAGCAAAAGCTGAGCACAAGTGCCACAAGGAATTCATGGGAGAGTTACCCCAGGGCACACAGCAGCACCTGAGCAGAGAATCCACACTGGGGGAGGCCTGAGAAAGGCTGCAATGGGCTGGGAAATGGCACAGGGACAGCAAGGGTAAGGTGGGAACTGGAACCAATCTCCCACCCCTCACAAAAGCTGAGCACAAGAGAATTCATGGCACAGCCACCCCAGGGCACACAGCACCCCTTGAGCACAGAACCCACACTGGGGGAGGGCCTGAAAAAGGCTGCAATGGCTCACAGGGCTGGGAACTCTCACAGGTACGGGAGGGGCAAGGAGGGAACTGGAACCAATCTCCCATCTCTCAGCAAAAGCTGAGCATGAGTGCCACAAGGGATTCATGGGAAGGTTATCTCAGAGCACACAGCACCCCCTGGGCACAGAACCCACACTGGGGAAGGCCTGAGAAAGGCTGCAATGGGCTGGGAACTGTCACAGGTACAGGAAGGCAAGGAAGGAACTGGAAGAGAAAGGCTGCAATGGCTCACAGGGCTGAGAACTGTCACAGGGACAGGAGGGGCAAGGAGGGAACTGGAACCAACCTCCCACCCCTCAGCAAAAGCTGAGCACAAGTGCCACAGGGAATTCATGGGAAGGTTATCTCAGAGCACACAGCAGCACAGAACCCACACTGGGGGAGGGCCTGGGAAAGGCTGCAATGGCCTGGGAACTGTCACAGGGACAGGAAGGGAAAGGTGGGAACTGGAAGAGAAAGGCTGCAATGGCTCACAGGGTGGGAACTGTCACAGGGACAGCAAGGGCAAGGTGGGAACTGGAACCAATCTCCCATCTCTCAACAAAAGCTGAGCATGAGGGAATTCATGGCACAGCTACCCCAGGGCACACAGCAACCCCTGAGTACAGAATCCACACTGGGATTGACTTGAGAAAGGCTGCAATGGCTCACAGGGTGGGAACTGTCACAGGGACGGGAAGGCAAGGAAGGAACTGGAACCAACCTCCCATCTCTCAGCAAAAGCTGAGCACGAGGGAATTCATGGGAGAGTTAGCCCAGGGCACACAGCACCCACTGGGCACAGAACCCACACTGGGGGAAGGCCTGGGAAAGGCTGCAATGGGCTGGGAACTGTCACAGGTACGGGAAGGGCAAGGTGGGAATTGGAACCAACCTCCCACCTCTCAGCAAAAGCTGAGCATGAGTGCCACAAGGGATTCATGGCACAGCTACCCCAGGGCACACAGCACCCCCTTATCACAGAATCCACACTGGGGGAGGCCAGAGAAAGGCTGCAATGGGCTGGGAACTGTCACAGATACAGCAAAGGCAAGAAGGGAACTGGGAGAGAAAGGCTGCAATGGCTCACAGGGTGGGAACTGTCACAGGTACAGGAAAGGCAAGAAGGGAACTGGAAGAGAAAGGCTGCAATGGTTCACAGCACTGGGAACTGTCACAGGTACGGGAAGGGCAAGGAGGGAACTGGAACCAATCTCCCATCTCTCAGCAAAAGCTGAGCATGAGTGCCACAAGGAATTCATGGGAAGGTTATCTCAGAGCACACAGCACCCCCTGAGCACAGAATCCACACTGGGGGAGGGCCTGAGAAAGGCTGCAATGGGCTGGGAACTGTCACAGGGACAGGAGAGGCAAGGTGGGAATTGGAACCAATCTCCCACCCCTCACAAAAGCTGAGCACAAGGGAATTCATGGCACAGCTACCCCAGGGCTCACAGCACCCCCTGGGCACAGAACCCACACTGCCCTGGGCTGGGAGCCCACCCAGAGCCAGCCCTGC